CCGCCCTCATGTTGTGGATCCAAGGTCTTCCGAGAAGTGTGTTGTATCTCATATCGCCCTCGATCACATGGAACTTTGTTTCTTGAATAGTTCCGGCTACATTTAATAGTAGGATGATTTCACCTTTAGTTGTTTCACTCGCCATGTTGAAACCATTAAGAATCCGAGCTGCGGGTACGATCTGATCTTGTAGGCCGAGTTGCTCCACGCACCTTGGTCGAATAATGTTGGCCGAGCTTTCTAGATCAATTAAAACACGTTTAACCTGAATTTTATTCATAAGGATAGAGATTACCAAAGCATCATTGTGGGGTTGTGAGATCCCTTCTGCTTCCTCATCTTTGAATGATAAAGTGCCTTCTGGCACATAGTCTCGAGTTCATTTTTCCCTGGTGATTGATACTTTAGTGCGTTTGAACACGGGTCCTTGTGGAATATCGACCCCACCAATGATCATGTGAATCACGTGTTGTGGTTCTTCCTGCTCGTTTTTTCTTGTTCGCATCCCTGTCTTTAAAATGATTTTTAGCTCGGTAGCTCAAGAATTCTCGAAGGTGACCCTCGTTGAATAGACGGGCCACCTCCTCCCTTAGTTGTCTGCAGTCTTCGGTTCTATGACCATGTGTACCATGGTATTTGCATATTTGATGGATCCGTTTGTAGGGGTCTGGGCCATCTAGTATCTTTGATTCTCCCAATAGCTGACACAATACCTGATGCGTCGATGCTGAAGTTGTATTCTGATGATCGTGGTGCTTTTGTGGGATCAACATGTTTATCGAAGCCACTTTTCCTCCTCGATCGTTCCTTCGATCATGTCGGATGTGATTGCGTCCTGGGCCGTTGTTTCTACGATCTGCGTTGTATGGTTGATACCGATCTCTGTTCGACCGGGGTTCTCTGTCGATATCCCTTTGAGTTCTGCTGACGATCCTGTTTGGATAAACAGAACTAGAAGGGGTCCCCAATTGATCATCCTCGACCCTGATCTTTGACTGGTACCGATTATGTACATCGGCCCAGGTTACCGTTGGATATTCAATTAAATTCTGCTTTAGCTATCGTGATGCCACCGAACTTCGTTCGTTCAAACCCCGAGTAAAGGCTTGACCAACCCAATCGTCTGTGACCGGTGGTAGTTCCATGCGTTCCATCTGGAACAGAGATACGAATTCCCTCAATATTTCATTGTCTTTATGTTTCACCTTGAAGAGGTCCGACTTCCTAGTTGCAACCTTTATTTCTCCTGCATGTGCCTTTACGAAGAAGTCTGCAAGCATAGCGAAGGAATCGATGGAATTAGGTGGCAAATTATGGTACCATATCATTGCTCCTTTCGACAAGGTTTCTCTAAATTTCTTCAGTAAAACAGATTCAATCCCATCGTCTTCCAAGTCATTATCTTTTATTGCGCATGTATAAGAAGTGACATGCTCATTAGGGTCGGTGGTCCCATTGTACTTAGAAATTTCTGGCATTCGGAATTTCTTCGGAATGGGTTTCGGAGCCACACTTGGAGGGAAAGGCTTTTGTACGAATTTCTTTGAATCCATACCTTTTAGAATCGGTGGTGCCCCCGGTATTTGATCAACCCGGGAGTTTTATGTCTCTACTTCTTGTCATTTGCCTCGATTTTCTTTTCTCCCGATTCCATCCGTTTAGTGAGCTCCTCAAGCATTTTCATAACGGCGGGGTCAGTCCTCGATTCATTGGCGTTCGACCTTTCCGGCACAGGCTCGGTCCTGTGGACAACTTCTAGTTTGATCCTACTCGGTGTTCAGTGCTGATTTTGTAGTTGTGTTATAGCGGCTTGTTGAGCATGTAACATTTCGAATATCAATTGGAGGCTAACTCCACCATCTTCTCCGCCCCTGCGTACCTCGACTACCTGATCGAACTTCCCGGCGTACGCTACCTTCGGGATCAACACCCAAATTTGCATTTAGGGCGACATGTGAACTGACATCAACGTGATTTGCAATTGGTGCTCCCTCGAGGTCAGCCTGAGGCACCTCGATTCCTGGGGCGGCTATATTATCATTTTTCCCATGAAATCTGAGGCCATTGTCACCATGTGTAGGCGTTACTTTTGAGTTTGACATGTTTATCCTAAAAACAAAGATTCTTACGAGAACAAGTGTAAAGCAGTGTGTGTTATCACAATCAGTATTAAGAAATCACTATTATTCTTAGCCCCACGATGGGCGCCAAACTGTTTATACTTAAAATTGGATAACAATTAAACTTTTAATGAGGTTCTAAGGACATGTGATTTCACTTAATACCAATTGATAAATATGAAGATTAATAACAAAAATGAACTATAAAGTAAAACAAACCAGTGCTAGAATGGAACTCAGCTCTCGAGTTTGGATACCCTCGAACTGGTTGATACAAGAACAATTAAAATATAACAAGATGATGAACAATAGTAGAAACGAGAAAGAGAATTATATTGCTTTTATATCCGTGAACAATATGTCTTACAAATGATTAGAACCCTCCTTTAAATAGTAGAGGAATTCCACTTATGGTATAATTCTAATTACAGAAGAAAATCTCATGATTAGCTAATTAACCGTTCCTGATTTGATCCGTTCCGAGATTTACGCCATGATCCTCGACCAGTCACGAATATCTCGCCTTTCTGTTATTGTGCAATCTTTGATCTTGCTTGATGTCTGTCTCATTTGGCTTCGATCGCTACTAGCCTCGATCTCGACATGTACCTCGCTTCTGAACTCGGTACCTTATCCTCGTGATTTAGTCTGGTCCATTACGAGATCATCCTTCGAAGCAACCTCCCGGTCTCGATCAAGTAGTAAAATCGGATGAGCCCGATTTTAACCGTATACATAACCTAGAGCGTGTTATACTTTTTTTATAACGCCTAGAGCGTGTTATACTATCCAAAGCTTCCCCAAATAGTCTTGATCGTAATCATAATTGTTGTTGCTATTATAATGCGATCGATACCCACTATATCGGTTTACTGAAACACTAGATCGGGGAACTGGAACTTGTGTGTGTGAGTTTGGCGCTCTAAAAAAACGGCATGACGTTGAGAATGTCACAAAATTTGGCGAAATCCCGTTATCATCTTCTGTCTGTATCTATATAGAATATGAGAAGCAAATCAATGTGATGATATCAAATGTCATAATAAAAATTTAACAAGTGTCAAGTTTTAGGATAAAACTAATTAGGTTAGTTAATAATTAGTTACTCTTTTTAAATTTGCATTTAAAACAATTAAATATCTATATATTTTTAAGAAAACTATTATAAAAAGAAAAAAAAATATAAATATATAACTTCAATGTAGAGATATATAAAATAATAAGACTAATTTATTTTTTGAGATGACAAAGTTTTTGAATAATAATTCATATGGTCATGCTATATGCTACATGGATAGGATAAAACTAAAGATAATAACATAAACAATAATTTCAAGAAATAAATAAAATATATAAAGATATAATTTTACTTCTTATGTAGAATCTTAATAAAAAAAAATTAAACTTTCATATTACATACAAATGGAAAGAAGAATTAAATTTAATTTCTTATTAAAAATTATACAATAATAATTATTATTATTATTAGTAGTAGTAGTTTTATGACATATATTAAAAGAAATTTTCTATTTAACCTTTGAACTAATTCAACACCATCCGTTTAAAAATATTATAATAATTAATTTCGTATTATAGATAAACACTAAATGAAAAAATCAAAATGTTGTAGAACAAAAACTAATGTATAAAGAAGAGAATATATATAATGTGATTCTATTCACGCTTTAAATTTATTTGATAAAATTAAGTAAATCAATAATACTAGAAAATATTATTGATAAATTTAAATATAAAAATAATTATGAGAAAGTCATACAGGATAAAGTCAAGTTAAATTTTAAGAGTAATACAAAATTATACTCATTATATTATATTAAACTAGTAATTTATTATAAATTCATATGATAATTTAATAATATTAAGTAATGGATAATACAATTAGATAAGCAAGGAACAAAAAAGAAATAAACTATTAATTTGCCGGAAAATATAAGAATATAAGACTTATAATTAGAATTATGATGAGAAAAGTATTACATATGCACATAACTAAAAATAGTTATAAAGGAAGAATACTATAAATAAATAAAAAGAATTTCAAGTGATAGCGTAAAAATGTATATACTAATTAAATTTCTCATATAGGAAATTTTAGTCAATAATAGAACTCATAATTACATAATGAAAAATAAAAAATATAAAGATACTATTAGAATATTATGCATAAGATAAGCATAGTATATATATATAACAGAAATTAATAATTATTAAAAATATTGGTAGTTTTTTTATAAAAATAATAAAAGTCTTACATCTTTATACTTTTGATGAATTTCAAAAAAAAAGTTTAGTAAATAAATATTACATTATTTAAATTTTTAGTAAAATACAAATAAAAAAACTAATCAAATATTACAGTAGAAAAGAATGTACGAAAAGAGGAGGATAAAGATAATTTTATGATATTTATATTTTGAATTAATTAAAAAATAAAATAAAAACAAATAACACTCAAAAGATTACTGATAAATTTAGACCATTGAAGAATTTTGAACAGTATAACATAAGTTTGAAAAAAATAAAAATATTTTCAGAGTAAGAAAACATATATCTATGTTATATTAAAAGAGAAGTAGTATGAAAATAAGCAAATTATCAAGTTAATAAAAAGTCACATTAGTAAATGTATAGTACTAAGTACTTGCTAATTTAATAAAGAATAAATAAGGATCAAATAATTTATTTGATTACTATATGATGTGTATCCTTTGATATTGTATAGATTTTGTTATATTTCTGCATACTATATTAAATAATAAAATAACAACTAAGATTTATTAAAATAATATGATATATTAGATCATAATTTTATAAGATTAATATTTATCAAATTATTTGCGCATCGCGCGGGTTATAAAACTAGTTATAAGGTATAGGATGAGGCCTTGGTCTGGGGTGGGGGGGTGGGGGGAATATATTTAAGGTAGGCTGTGTCGCAATTGGCGAGTTATTAGAGGGCTTGCGTTGCCCAGAAACAGCAAATTTTAGTGTTCTACTGTAGAGTGTCACTAGACTAGACAAAAGCTTCACAACATAGGTTGCAATCTTCTCCGTCTCATATTTAATGAAGGCAAAACCTTTAGGATTGTCAGTTTCCTTGTCACGAGGAATGTACAAGTCAACAACACGCCCTGCTTGAATTTCTAACATATTTAATACACGATCGGTTACTCTCTCATCCAAATTTCCAACATAAACAGTAGAATTAGGGTTCTTAGTCATGGATGGGATTCAGCTTTATTGGCGTAGAGGAGTAAATTAAATACTCAATAAATTCAAGAAGTACCAGAATCGTGGGGTCACAAGTTTTAAATAAAAAAAACAGAGATGTATATATAGGGTTTTAATTTCATTACCGACTTCTAGATGGTTTAAGATTCAATTACAAATCGCTACTATATTGACCATAGTCAAATGAGATTTTGCAAAGTGTATTGCAGAGGCAGAAAAAGCTTGGGATCTCTTTTCTCCCATTTTCATGAGGTTTAGAATGTAAGTTATTATTTTCAATTGCATTACCGTCATAAATAAATACTAAATTCTCTTATAGAACCTCCAAAATATACCGATCTATATATAATTCTGTATACGGTTAAAATCGAGCCCACCCAATTTTTTTATCTGACTGGGACCAGGGAGCTGCATCGAAAGTCGGCCCCGTAGTGGATCGGACCAAGGTACGAGGACAAAGTACCAAGTTTGGGATTCGAGATACTTGTCGAGATCGAGGCCAGCAGCGATCGAGATCGAATAAGACAGGCATCGAGCAAGATCGAAGATAACATAATAACGGAGATGCGAAATATCCGTGACTGGTCGAAGATCATGGCGAAAATCTCAGAACGGATCAAATTAGGAACGGTTAATTAGTTAATCATGAGATTTCCTTCTGTAATTAGAGTTATACCATAAGTAGAATTCCTCTACTATATAAAGGGGAGTATTAACCATTTGTAAGGACACATTGTTCACAAATATCAAAGTTATATAATTCTCTTTCTCGTTTATACTATTGTTCATCAGTTTGTTATATTTTGATTGTTCTTACATTAACCAGTTCGAAGACATCCAAACTTGAGGGTTGAGTTCCATTCTAACACTGGTTTGCTTTACTTTATAGTTTATTTCTGTTATTAATCTTCATATTTATCAATTGGTATTAAGTGAAATCACGTGTCTTAGAACCACATTATAAGTTTAATTGTTATCAAATTTTAAGGGTAAACAGTTTGGCGCCCACCGTGGGGCTAAGGATAATAGTGATTGCTTAATACTGATTCCGATAACACACACTGCTTTACTCTTGTTCTCGTAAGAATCTTTGTTTTCAGGATAAACATGTCAAACTCACAAGCAACGCCTACACACGGTGACAACGACCTCGGATTTCACGGGGAAAATGACAATATAGCTGCCCCAGGGACCGAGGCACCTCAGACTAACCTCGAGGGAGCACCAATTGCAAATCCCATCGATGTCAGTTCACATGTCGCCTTATATGCAAATTTGGGCGTTGATCCCGAAGGTAGCATACGCAGGGAAGTTCGATCAGGTGGTCGAGGTACGCAGGGCAAAGAAGATGGTGGAGTTAGCCTCCAATTGATATTCGAAATGTTACAGGCTCAACAAGCCGCTGTAGCACAACTACAAAATCAGCACCGAACACCGAGTAGGATCGAACCAGAAGTCGTCCATAGGACCGAGCCTGTGCCGGAAAGGTCAAACGCCAACGAATCGGGGACTGACCCCGCCATTATGAAAATGCTCGAGGAGCTCACTAAATAGATTGAATCGGGAGAAAAGAAAATCGAGGCAAATGACAAGAAAATAGAGACATACAACTCTCGGGTTGACCAAATATTGAAGAAACCGCCGATTCTAAAGGGTATGGATTCAAAGAAATTCGTACAAAAGCCTTTCCCTCCAAGTGCGGCTCCGAAACCCATTCTGAAAAAATTCCGAATGCCAGAAATTCCTAAGCATAATGGGACCACCGACCCTAATGAGCATGCCACTTCTTATATATGCGCAATAAAAGGGAATGACTTGGAAAACGATGAGATTGAATCTGTTTTACTGAAGAAATTTGGAGAAACCTTGTCGAAAAGAGCAATGATATGGTACCACAATTTGCCGCCTAATTCTATCGATTCCTTTGCCATGCTTGCAGACTCCTTCATAAAGGCACATGCCAGAGCAATAAAGGTTACAATTAGGAAGTCAGACCTCTTCAAGGTGAAACAAAAAGACAACAAAATATTGAGGGAATTCGTATCTCGGTTCCAGATGGAACGCACGGAACTACCACCGGTCACAGATGATTGGGCTGTTCAAGCCTTTACTCAGGGTTTGAACGAATGAAGTTCGGTGGCATCACGACAGCTAAAGCAGAATTTAATTAAATATCCAGCGGTAACCTGGGCCGATGTACAAAATCGGTACCAGTCAAAGATCAGGGTCGAGGATGATCAATTGAGGACCCCTTTTGGGGGTAGCTTCTTCTCCATCGAGGTCCTCCCTATTCTCGGACCCGCTCTTGCTTCCATCATCATCATCATCATCATCAGAAGAGGCCAACGCTCCAGCATCAGCTTTATGATCTCTAGCCTTTATTATCTCGTCGGTAAGATCAAAACCTCGAGCGTGGATCTCCTCGAGGGTTTCCCTCCGAGATTGTCATTTGGCGAGTTCCGTAATCCAATGTGCTCGAGTTTGAGCGGTCTCGACTGCCTTTCTCGCTTGGACTTGAGCGGTTTCAGTATCAGCCCGGTAGATGGCCACGATCGCCTCTGCCTCGGCCTTTGCCTTTTCGGCTTCAGATTTGGCCTTTGTAAGTTCGAAAGCCAACCGAGCCTCGAGCTCCTCTATTTTCTTTGCCTGATCTGAGCTCTTTTCCTTCGTGCCTCGAAGCTGACTTTCGACCGATGACCATTAGGCTCGAGCAACCTTTTTTTCAGCAGCAAAGCGGTCCATACTTTCTTTCCACCCTAAGGTCGCTGTCTTCATCATGTCGACCTCCTCACGGAATTGCTCGATTCGCTCAACCTTCTTATGCAGTTGTGAGATTGAAATGTTAGCCACCGTTCTCGAATCGAGCCCATGAGTGTAACGACCCGACTGGTCGTTTTGAGTATTATAACCCCATTTTCCCATTTACTGCTCAATTTATGCTTTGCAGTTATTTTATGACTTACCGGATTAGTTGGTTTGGGTCCGGAAGGAATTCGAAGTGAAACGAAACACTTAGTCTCATAATTAAAAATTTAAATTAGAAAAGTTGACCGGATGTGGACTTATGTGTAAACGACCTTGGATTCAAATTTTGATAATTCAATAGCTCCGTATGGTAATTTTGGATTTAGGAGCGTGTCAGAAAAATTATTTGGAGGTCCGTAGTGGAATTAGGCTTAAAATGGCGTAAGTCAAAATTTTGGAAAGTTTGACTAGGAGGTTGACTTCTTGATATCGGGGTCAAAATCCAATTCTAAAATTTTTAATAGGTCCGTTATATCATTTATGACTTGTGTGCACAATTTGAGGTTTATCGGACGTGATTTGATAGGTTTCGGCGTTGTTTGTGGAAACTTAAAATTTCAAAGTTCATTAGGCTTGAATTGGGGTATGATTCATAGTTTTAGCGTTGTTTGAGGTGATTTGAGGGTTATACTAAGTTCGTATGATATTTTAGGACTTGTTGATATATTTGGTTGAGGTCCCGAGGGGCTCGGGCGTGTTTCGGATGGTATTCAGATTATTTTCCTTCATTTTTGCACTGCTGGTAGCTGCTGATTTTTGGTGTTTCAAGCCTTCTTCGCGATCGTGAAGATTGGTACGCGATCGCGTAGGCTTAGTTGGGCAGTGGAGTTTTGTTCTATACGACCGTGTGGGGATATCCGCGATCGCGTAGGGTTAACTGGGGGGTTGCTAAGTTTGTTTTACGCGATCACGTGAATAGGGATGCGATCGCGTATCTCTGGGAGCTTGTGCTTCGCGATCGCGTGAATGTGTTTACGATCGCGTAGGTCTGTGAAGTTGTGCATCGCGATCACGTGACATTGTTTTCGATCGCGTAGGGTTAAGTCTGAGCAGTGGAAAATTGTTCTTCGCGATCGCGTGGGGATGTTCGCGATCGCGTAGAGGAAATGACTGGGCAGAGAGTTTAAGTTCTGAAAATGGGACTTCATCCCATTTTTCATTTTTGACGGATTGGAGCTCGGGAAAGAAGCGATTTTCGGGAGTTTTTCAAGAAAAATAACGGGGTAAGTGTTCTTAACACTATATTGATTAAATTATCTGAATCCATGATTGTTTTCAACATTTAATTGGTGAATTAAGTTGGAAAATTGTGAAAACCCTCTTGGTTTAATTTGGAGATTTGAGGGTCGAGTTGATATCGGATTTGAGTAAAATTTATATGGTTGGACTCGTGGTTGAATGTGCATTCATATTTTGTAACTTTTGTCGAGTTCCGAGATGTGGGCCCCACAGATGATTTTTGAGCTTAATTTCGGATTCTTATGGAATTAATTCCAATAAATTTTATTGACTGAATCGAATTATTTATGGCTAGATTCGAGGCGTTTGGAGGCCAATTCACGAGGAAAAGGCATTGCAGAATAAAAATTTCACGGCTTGAGGTAAGTAAGAGTTATAAATCTGGTCCTGAGGGTATGAAACCCCGGATTTGTATCATGTGATTATTTTGGAGGTGGCGCACATGCTAGGTGATGGGCGTGTGGAAATGCACTGAGGGGATTGTGACTTGGTCCGTCCCGTGAAACTGTAAACTTGAATAACTTGTTGTTAGCTATATGCTCTCTATGTGTTGAAGAAATTTGAGTGTAAATCATGTTAGAAATCATGCTTAGTCTATGTGATAGTACTGTTGGGACTCACAGAGGTCGCGTACTTGTTGAATTATTTGTTAATTGCTGTCTTGTACTCAGTCATGATGTTACTTGCATATCATACCTCAGTCTTTCTTGATATTTGTTGATACACTATGTTATCTTTGTTTGGGCTGATCTTTGTGATTTTCGAGAGCCCGAGAGACTAGAGAGGTTGAGGACTGAGTAAGGCCGAGGGCCTGTCGGTGAGGTAAGGATACTATAGCACGTGAGTTGTCCGTGCAACACGTGAGTTGTCTGTGCGGATTATGGTGCTTGGGCTGTAGGAGCCCCTTCAGAGTTTGTACACCCCTAGTGAGCGCGGGTACTCATTGA